ATTCAAGTCTTCGACGAATAACGGTACAAGCGATGCGAATTGTAGTCATCGGGCGTGTCGGCTCTCCGAACTGCGAAGTTTGTGCGCGCGGGAGGTGCAAATTGTGCAAAAGGCCACCCTAAGGCTTAAAGGTTCTATAGGGACTCCTTTTGGGTTCCCTCATGTTGGTTTCACCCTTCTAAGTGCTAAAAGTCGATATCACGATACCACACACGCGAAACTCCAAAAGGATACCATACACGCGAAACTCCAAAAGGGTACAGAAGTAGGTTGAATTTCTAAAATGAGGCGGGTCTCATTTCTAAGGTTCTAAGATAATCAAAGGGAGATCCCTAAGGCTAGATCCTAAACCCTAAGAGAAAGACTAGACCTCACTAAAAATGAGGTCAACAGTATAGAAAGTACAACCCCAAAAATTGATTTGAGAGATCTTCCGAAGATAGCATTATATGTCAATTCCAACTTGACTACAGTATGTTGGATCGTATAAGTTGTCTGGCGGAGGAATGCTCCTTCTATAATGGGGAGAGTTATCGTCCTGTCGACATTCAACGACTGATTTTAAAAGCCGTAGAGAGGATCAACAACAGGCTGCAACTTTTTCCTTAGTCAATTCCAAACAAAAAAAGTTGAGTTAAACATGACATCAATTGAACTCTTTTCACCGGGACTCTCATTTCATTATAACAAGGGTCACTGATCCTAGTGCTTAAACAGGAGGATTTTGGCCAGGTACTTGTACCCTTTCAAGATCAAATTTATCAAATGTGATGGAGTGGCTAATATGAGATTTCTTTGGTGAAGAGTCCTCATAGGCAGTAATAAGGACTTGCTTTACAAACAATGGTTCTTCAGTGATGGTAACAATTTTGCCAATAGTTTGATGATTATTATGTTGTTACTTCTGGCTTGTTGCCACTCATATGGGCATTATTTGTTTGTCGGATCTTACTTTGCATCAATTGGCCTAGGTATCTTTGCTAGATTAGCCTTTGAATCTCCTCATTGAGTTGAAAACATACTTCAGTATTGTGACCACGATTTCGATGTAGTTGGTAATACTTTTTTTGATTCCCTTCATTTGGCTTCAACAAAGGTGGCCATTTAAAGAATTTTCTTATCATGAATCATCATCAGAATGTTGACATGTGAAATATTGAGTGATGTATACTTCTTGTCGGGTCAAGATTTACGTCTCTACAGTCGAGAGGGGCAAATCAAGATTTCCTCGTGGTTTAAATTTCTTCCATTGAAATTTTTTAGCAGTGTCTTTGGAATTCTTCTTATGCTTTCTTAAATGTGGCTCAAATTGCATTTTATGCATATTAATAGCTTCGTTAGTAACAAATTGTGCTTCAACATCATGAATGAGATCAATGTATGAACAAGCCATCTCTCTTATCAAAGATGAGTAGAAAGGATCAGGGCGTAGTCCCCTCAAGGGCACACCTCTCAGTAACTTTGGATCTACTCCCTGGATTTGATGAGTTTTAATGAAGAATCTTAGGAAATAACCCTTCAGTGATTCCTCTTCACTTCGACGGATCCCGAAGAGGTGAGAGGAGTCTGATGGTCCTTCAAATTGTAATGAATTCAAGCACGGTGGTGAGCTCATTGAAGGTATTACTCCCTTCTGGAAGTTAGTAAAATCAAGTGTGTGCTTGGACTTTAAGAGTTGTAGGAAAAATTTGACAAAGGAGAGCATCGAGAGCTCTTTTTATATGCATGATAGTTCTGAAGTAATCCACATGTTCATATGGGTTAGAAGTCCCATCATAAGCATAAATACTACGAAGCTTAAATCCTATTGGAATAGAGTGCTGACAGATGATCTCTGCTAGTGTATAAGACTCATGAGATTCACGTCGAGCTGAGAAATGATTTATATCCCTTACAACAAAATCCACATAGACTAGACGTCATAACTTTTCATGAATTGTGTGAGGTCAGTTACATTCTCCATGCATGTTGGGGGCTTGATTTTAATTTTAACTGTAGGAGGTGAATGTGTAGAGCTAGCATTGTCCATGAGTTCAACCTCCTAAATGGGAGCTTCAGTATGCGAAGGAGGTGCCAACTGTGTAACTCTCATAAGAGGATCTTGATATAACTATGCCCCTCCCATATGTACAACCGTAAGTTGCCGAATTTCACGTAGAAATTGGAGAATGTCAATCTTAGATTCCTCCATTATTCGCACACAATCTTCAAGAGCTGCAAGCAAAGTTCACTCACCAGCAGGATGATGTTATCATTGGGAAACGGGCTAGAGACTTGATATCTAGCACTTCCAGATTGTACCCTGGAATAACGAGTGTTAGATCGTTAAGCTTGCTTATCACGTTTGTAGACTTCTATCAAAAGGTTTTCGTTTCGCACATACGACCCCGAACTGTTGCGTGTTATAAAATTTATGTTAGTAAAGTCATAACTTACGCTTATCACGTTTGTAGACTTCTATCGAACTGTTGTGTGTTATAAAATTTATGTTAGTAAAGTCATAACTTAATGTTTCGTTATTGTACAAAAATCTAGAACTCAAACACAAATAATGAGAAAGATACAGGCGAAGAAACTATAATTTTTAGCGTGGAAAACCTAATAAGGGAAAATATCATGGTGCCTAACCCAGTTAAAATGATCCATTAAAAATTTGCCAGTATAAAAATTGATCATTTTCCTGTACTTGGGAAAGGTTATAATGTTACATCAATTACAGTATTTGTCCGTATACAACATGCAAAAATATTTGATTTATTTTGAATTCAACGCTCTATAGTAGTTTCCACTGAGAGTTATCGTCGAATTTTTAATACACCCACCCTATTTGTCGAACGTCACTCCATAGTATTTAAGGCGAAAAGTCTAAGGATGGTGCAGTTAAGCTTCTTGTCCTATAGATTGAAAAGGTTTGAAAGCTTGAAAACAGTGTTTTTACGCTCTGTGTCTTTATGGCAAAAAGTTTATGGATGCTGCAATTAAGTCCATGTCCTATAGAATGAAAAGGCTTGAAAGCCTCAAGACGGTGTTGTTATGCTTCGTGTCACTAAAGCAAAAATTCTAAGAATCTTGCAGTTAAGCTTTATGTCCCGCAGATTGAAAAGGTTTGAAAGCCTAAAGTCAGTGTTGTTACTCTTCATGTCTTTAGGGTGAAAAGTCTAAAGATGATGTAATTAAGTTTCATATCTTATCAACTGAAAAAAGTTTGAAAGCCTAAAAATGGTGCTATTATGTTTAATGTTTTTTTTAGGGTAAAGAGTTTAAGGGTGGTGCAGTTAAGCTTCATGTTTTATAGACTGAAAATTTTTGAAAGCCTAAAATGGGTGCTATTATGCTTCGTGTTTTTAAGGCAAAAAGTTTAATGACAGTGCAATTAAGCGTTGTATCCTATAGATCAAAAGATTTAAAAGCCTAATGACGGTGATGTTATGCTTCATTTTAAGGAGAAAAGGTCTATCAATGGTGCAATTAGCTTTGTGTCCTATAGACCGAAAGATTTGAATGCTTCGTGTCTTTAAGGAAAAAAAGTCTAACAACTATGCAATTGAGCTTTATGTCCTAAGAACTAGAGGGATTTAGATTCATTCAGTTGAACACATTAGGCTAAAAAATCACACTGACTTGCATCCAACTAGAGAGGTGACTAGGGTGTGATTAGATCAAGATGGAAAACACAGAGATTGATATCCAATCTAAGAACCAATCAAAATGATTCTCATTCAATCTTTATTTGGTTGATTGTTTGTTTTTTGGTTTTTTTTTGTTTAGGAAGTGTCTTGAACACGCTAGGATGGACAACTATACGAACTCACATCCAACTTAAGAAATGAAAAAAGTGATTAGATAGGGGTGGAAAACATAGAGACTTACACCCGACTCGGGAGCTAATCAAAATGTAGATTTAATTGGTTGAATTGGAATATATTATGATGGAAAGCACACAGACTCACATTCAACCTAAAAGATAAACATAATCAAGTTAGAAAACATAGTGATTCACATCTAACTTGAAAGCTAATCGAAAGAAGATTTGATTAAACTTGAACACACAGGAATGGAAAATATGAGAACTCACATCCAACCTAAGAGGTGAATAGAGTGATTAGATCATTTTAGAAAGCACGGGAACTCACAGTTAACTGAGAGCTAATCAAAGGGAAAGTCAACCTAAGGGAACATTTTTCTAGACCTAAAGGAGGTTGATTTGATTGATGTTTGATTTGGAAATCTTTGGTTTGAAGGTTTGTTTGGAAACACGATTGTTTTTGTTTGAAAGTTTATTGTTTTGTTTAAAATTTTTATTGTTTTGTTTGAAAGTTGATTGTGTTGAAAGTTTTTTGTTGTTTTGTTCAATGAGTTTTGAGTTTTTTCTTAGTTTTATTTAGTATAGGACACCCTAAGGAAAATTATACTTTGCCGAAATTACAGTCAGAATAGTCTAAGAATGATGTCCTAAAGACTAAAAAGTTTTCAATTTTTTTTAGTTTTGTTTTATTTTTCTTTGTTTCAACTTAACTTTCATTAGAAAATTTTAATAGCTTTCTGGTTTGATTTCAATTTAAGTTTTAGTCCCAGTGTTGATTTTAAGTGTTTAAATTTTGATGATTATTATTTTCTTTAATTGAATAAAAAATGAACTTATTGTATAAAAAATAATCTTAATTTATTAGAACTAAATGAATATACGACACTAAATAGGATGCAACGGAGAAAAATGATTCATGCAGCCGACCCCACGCAGTGGGATTAAGAATTTGTTGTTGTTGTCGTCGTCGTCTTATTTTCTTTAAGTGAATTTTGTGCATGGGATTAGAATGTTTAAGATCTTTGCTCATTTTCAGTGTGTTGTTTTATGGACTTTTGGAGTCTAATTGAGTTTAATTTCATTCAAGTTCTATCTTAAATTTAAAACATTGACAATCCAAATTCTCCTTAAAGTTTCAGAGACTCGTATTATATTTAAAAATATATTAAAACTTTTATAGGTTATGTGCGCCCCCATCCCAACACCCCCACTCCCTTCCCTCTCCTTGAATTCGCCATATTTAGAATAATCAAATTTACATAGAACGCTTCTTAATATAACTGCTAGATTAAAAACATAAAGTCAAAGCTCAAATTGATTGTTTTCTTTGATATACTTCGATGAATGTACGGGAAGTTATTTTTAACTGCTGAGCCCTCCTTTTGTAGTCTGCCGCAGCAGCAATAAAATGCCATCTCTGCCATCTACCGCTGTTTCAGCTGAAGCTGAGCTTAAATCACCAGAAAAAAACTTCCATTTTGGAGACAAGTTTGTTGCAACTTCCGACTGAAAACCAAACAATTTCACACAAACTTTAAGAATCGACCGAAGATTGCTTTGATTTCTGTTTTACAACTAAAAATCCAATTGTGCTTTTTCTCTAGCATACTCCAGAATCTCAATCAACTGTTTGTTTCCACTTCTTCGGCCTTCATCAAGAGCAGTATTTCCCCACCTGGAATAGATGGTATATAGATCTTATTAGAGAGAGAAAAAGGCCAAATACAAGGAGAAACTCAGATTCGATAGTGAAATAGCAAGTTGGATTAATTTACTTTGTATTTTATTTATGAAGCAATAGTTACTTTAATTGTAAGACTTGACTAATAAGAAAAGTGTCAAAATGGTCCTCGACTCTTTATAGGGAGTCATTTTAAGTAATCCGAGGGACTAAATTGGCCCCATATAAATATTCAGGAGATTTTGTTGTAAACAAACAAATGAGCCCTGAAATGAATATAATAAGTATCATTTGAATTATATAAACAGTAGGATTCGAATTGGGATCAATTGCCGTTGTTGTCATCGTCGTCATCATTAACGCATTAGTTTTATTCTGGCCATTTGGGATCAATTAAATGAATCATCCTTCATTCAATCTTATTTTGTTCTCTGGGAATTGTTAAATATATTTTATTTATTTATTTTTGCGTAATTTCTAGTTGTATTGGTTTTGAACACCCTTTTCTTATTCCGAGTTTTATCTTATTAATCTAAATATTGTCTATTTGGTTCAGTTTTTGTCATCTAGAGTACATCCTAAAGCACTTAAATTTATGTTTCATTATTATATATTTAATAGATGCTATTCTGGCCGTTTCTTTGTGCAATCATTTCTTCCTTTATAATCATTTATCAAACATACATTTTAATAGTCTCATTTCTGTCATATTTTACACGACATGGATCTTAGATATGTTATCTATATCATTACATACAATAAAATTAAGATACTTAAACCTACCATATTTTTGAATCACTATATTTTTTTTAAAATTATGAATTACTACTTCATTTTTATCTATTAAACTCATATTTTATTTATTCAATCTTTTTTCTGCCAATCATAAAGCCTTCAGACCTTATAAAAGTTTTCTTAAAAATTCATTCATTTCATATGAGAACCCACTTTCAAATCCATCTTATACACATAGCACATGAAAATGTATTTCATTTTATCAAATCCTTTGCAAGCATCTTCAGAACTAATACACAATGATAATATTAACTTTAACATATTTTTGACACACTACTTTCTTCCATTCACCCACTTAAATCAATTCTCATGACATTTCAAGATCCACAAAAAAATGTATGATGATTCTTTTATTTCTCACTATGTTTTTAGTACTCTACTTTTCATAAAAGCCAATATTGATAACATTTTTTATAGCTTGTGCTTTTTACTCATTTGATTAAATTTTGTTATCTATGATCACAACAATCTTAGATTTCTATTTTGTTCGTCCTCGTGCTCAGTCCTTGTACAACCATCTATAATTTTTTTAGTTTTAAAATTCTTTAAAAAGAATTTTGCAAATCAAATTGCTCAAGCATTTAACCCTTCAAATCTGAATAGATATCTCATATTAATCTAGAACTTCATCTTAATGCATCATGCTCAACCTAATTTATCTTTACTTCTTGTGTCAATCTAAACTTTATTTCATGAATGGAGGTGCCAAAAATTGACCTAACCCGCCACTCCACGAACCTAACCTGAATAATTTAGGTTTGGGTTCAAAATCCCAATAAATTTAATTATTTTTTTTTATCTGGCCCACTAGCCCGAAATTGACCCAAATTTAACTCACCAACTTTAATATGACCTGAATATTACTCAAAATTAATGTAAATTTGATCCAAATAACTATTATGCATATTTAATGTTTGGGTCAAATTTTATGGCCCATTTAATATCTGTGTCAGGCACTAGTCAAACAGTTTCATGTTGGGTAAAATTCAGATTAGGGTTGAACCTGAAATGTGAACAGGATTTGACAGTCCTATTCATGATTATATTTATTTGTGTTTTTTAATATTTTTCTTAAAACATTGATTTACTAACTAATTTAAATATTTTTAGAATATGCATATAAAGTTATTATAAAATGCAATCGGCATGTAGTACCTATCTTTGATGAGCACATCAGCTCCTAATTCTATCAAAACTCCAGCAATTAAATGCAAGCCCGAGGCTGATGCAACATGAAGCGGAGTTCTCAGATCATAATTTTGACAATTTGGATCAACTCCATACTTCAGTAGCCGTTGCAGTACATCGACTTTGTTATCTGCAGCTACTTTGCAAAGATATGTCCCAGCATCTTCCAGATTCATAACTGCTCCACTCTCCAAGAGCAGGTTAGCAACTTCTTCATGACCTGCCCTCACAGCCTCTAATAATGGTGAATTCCCAACCTTATCTGCATTTAAGAGTCACCTATATGTTACTTAATCGTTAATAACAAAACGCAAGGAAAAGTTTTTTCAAAGCCATTGCTTAACTCACCAAGGCAATTGACTTCTACATTTTTTTGAAGAAGAAACTTTACAATATCTTCATGTCCTCTTGATGCAGCAATGTGCTGAAACAAAAAGTTCCTTTAGTAAAGTTTCTGAATTATCTATCTCCTAATCAGTAATATAGCTTCGAATTCAATAATGAATGTTTGGTTCAATGTTATTAAGATAACATAGTATTTTGACCAAAATGTTAGAAAATTAAATTAATGAAAGGTATGAGGTTATACTAGTGTGCTCCTTCCATCATAATCCTTGATGTTAGGATCTGCTCCGGCATCAATGAAACCCTTAAGATGATAAAAATCTCCATTATAAGCTGCACTTCTTACTCCCATTGAAAGTTCTGCTTCTCTCTTTGTGATTAGAAAGGATATCTCTGATACCAATTGCTTCTTCTCTAGATCATTCTCATTTCCCTATAACATAAAGTGGAATTCAAAGTTTTTGTATTGCTCATTAGTTTACATACGATTAATATTTTCTTTTAGTTCCTCACCTCAAGCACATTTCTGAGTATTTGATAGCTATCTTTGACATATAGCTGTAAAATGTTGCTCAGATTTTCTTTTTCGATTTGTAGTATTCTGCAGAGTTTAGTAACACGAACAGTATATGGTTGTGGAATATTGCACAGCGCTGCAACTTCACCAAATAAATCAGAAGGCGTAAGTTCTGATATAAATTCCGTTGATCTATTTTCTCCAATTAGCAACTCTTCCTACATTAGAAAAACAATAAGATAAAATTGGTAAGTAGTACTATATATATATTCTACAGTAATAATCTTTTGATTTTTGTCTAATATGATATAAATTCCTTTGGTTATCTGTAAGATTTTTAAAATTTTCTTTGTTTATGTATAATTTATTCTAAGTTGTAGTGAAGAAAAGTATATTGTTAACATGTTTTCTTAAGTAACATTACTAAATTTAGTTTTTCAAGAAATTAGCAAATACTATTTACCAAAGAGCCATGGGACAATATGTATATGTGATCCACGGTTGTTCCTTGTTCAATGATCACTTCTCCTGGAAGAAAGAACTCTTCCGTTAGTTTCATTACCTGCAAATAAAATTGGATCCAAAACTGTTAATTGAGAACTTCAAATGAAATTATTCAATATGTTTCATTTAGAAATAAAAAGGGGGGCAGGTCAAGATGATCAGTTTTACACGTACAATCTGATTTAAGAAATTATCTGAACATCCTCTAAAGAGTGGAACATTCTGAACTATCTCAAAATACAATGAGTGCGATAGCTGAAAAACAAAATTGAAAAATTCATAATTTAGAGCATTATAATCTGCTAAAAATTCTACTTTCAAAACTTTTCGACTCAAAAAGAAAACTACCTTGGCTTTCACAGCCTCTGGAATGCCATCAATAAATCCACTTCTTGTTCTACTGCATTCATACTGCAATCTAAGGTGGCTTTTAATACGGTTTCTGATCTCATTACTAAGATTAGTCCTATCCATATACTGTGTTATACTATTCATCTCATCCCTGAATCTTTCTGTCTTTGAACCCTTAACTATCAAAGCTGTCATATTACCAATCAAATAAGCTCCGAGAATCATATTAAATGATACATATATGATGAGAAAAACCATCTCTCTGGTGCTAACAGCATGTATGTCTCCATATCCTGCATAAAACAACAAATTAGTGTTGAACAATCTTCTCATCTCCACCAAATCAGGCAATATACTAGATTATATTCTTCATATTTGCAAAGGAAGGATTTTAAAAGATAAATTAAATGGGATTCGAAAGACTGAAAATTAACTCACCTATGGTAGCCATGGTAATGGACATGAAGTATAGAGAGGTAATATAAAGCTTTGAGAAATCCATCTCTCTGAAGTTCATATAGCTGTAATCACCCAACTTCAGAGCTCCAATCCATGTGTATCCTTCAAGCTCTGGTGGCATAGTTGTTGCAAGGTAGAAGAAGATGCATGCAGCTGTATGTACACTATATAACTGTACAATAACAAGCTTCACAATTCTAACATACAAGTAGTTGATGCGGATGTCCTTCTCTATTTTTTTGAAGAAATGGTTAATTTTTCTCACACGGTACAGTCTTGTCCACAAAAAATACCTCACTAGTTCTCTTCTTCCTGTGCTCTGCTTAATGTTAGCATGTTAGTATGTATTAGGCATGAGTACATGAATGAGGGCGAGCTTGTTTTCACACCTCACCTTGTATATGGTATCCCATGGTATGCATCCAAGGAGGTCTATAATGAAATCTCTTGATGCATAGCTGCATGATAGAAATCATTGACTTTAATTCAATTTATTTTTGACATAATTAGGGGTGAAATCAACCTCTTTTGAGGACGGGCAAATCATAATAATAATAATAGTAATAATGATAATAATGCTAATTAACCCAAGCAAATTAGGCATGGCATTTAGGCCACACATATTTATATTAATAAAAATAAAGAAAAAGAGAAACTACCGCCCACAAACTTACAAAAAGCTTTTAAAGCATAATTTATGAATTCTCAAAATTTTAATTATTTGTTTTAACTAGTGTATTTTGAGGCCCTAAGTCTGCTTTTCAATAGTCCATTTGGGCGATTTTAACTATTCTATGTTTATTCCATGAAACATTCCATTTGGGCGATTTTAAACGTCATGTATCTTCTGCATAATCTTTTATATCAAAAGTGCTGAACTTGTTTATCTAGTTAGGGCTGTCAAAAAAGCTCGTTGTTCGCGAACAACTCGTGCTCGGCTCTTTATGCAGCTCTTGTTTGGACGAACAAGTTTTTAAAGCTCGAATTATAAACGAGTCGAACACGAACAACTTTTTGTTCGCTTGTGTTCGCTTGTGTTCGGCTCGTTTTAGCTTGAAAAAAAAAAAAACTATATAATTATTTATATAATAATATATTATATATATTTATTTATAAGTTTAAATCATAATTGCTTGTATTGTAATGTGGTTATGCATCTTTTTTGGCATACATTTGGTTTATGTTTGAATCCAACATTATACATCTATTTTTTCAGTTTAATTTTAACGAGCAAATTTCGAGTCGAACACGGAAATTTAAATCGAGCCGAACATGAAAACACTGTTTACGAGCCGGTTTCAAACACGAGCCGATTTCAAACACGAGCAATTTTAGGAGCCGAACACGAGCCTAGCTTGAGCTCGGCTCGTTTGGAGCCATATATCTAGTTCGACTTAATATGAGTTTAATCTCTGTTTGACCATTTTCAAACTGCGTCTAATTTATAGAAATTTGAAATTAAAATAATAATAAAAAAGATTATTAACATCAACAAAGATAGCAGCCATAAGAGATTCAGACTCACTGAAAGGCAATGCTGCCTCGATCGTAAACCATCTTATTGCCATGAGGAGCTTTGTAAGCGACGAAGAAGTTAAGCAGCAAGTCCATGAGAAAGATCAGTACGCTGACGTAATCAATCAATGTCAATTCATCCGGCAGCCCTCTGAAGAATCCGAACTCTAATGGCGTAATGAAGGTCGAATATACGCGCCACACCAGCACAAAGTTCATCCACAAACCATACCATCTGAAAGAAAATAATTGTTATGCGTTGGAGAAGATGACTAATGATTTTGATGATGATATTACACTATGATGCGATGAAGGGTTTTAATTACCTGTCATTGGGAAGGATAACAATTGGGGTGCATCTTTTGTTTGTGATGTCAAGTGTTTCATTGCTGTTCGTAGAATCATGAAAGTTGTTTCGCACCATATCTCTCTCTCTCTCTCTCTCTCTCATTCACTATAGTGTAAGGCTGAACTTATAGTGCATGCTGTGGAAGGAGAAAGACGGAGTTTACAGGAAACTTGGAGCAGGCCGGCTGATGAGTTTTGTCAATTTGCAAAATTTGTACCCGGCTGACCATAGCATAATTATTTATCTATTTAACACTTTTCAAGATGGTACATTTATTATGATCGAACACGACACCTAATTCTTTGCGGATTGGATGCAAACTCTCTCCCAATCTAAGAACCAAAGCGGCTTATAAGCGAATTGGCTCAAGCATAAATTTGGAGAAAAAAGTTGCGTACGTAAGACGTACACAGCGCTGCGTACGTCTTATAGGTTATTCAGATGGCATTAAGGGGTTATATCCGCATTATACCCCCTGTAACGTTCATGTAACCTACTTGTACCTTCTAGTAAGTTCCGCGCTTCTGTTTTATTATATTTGTAGGTTACCGGTAGGTTACGGGTAAGTTACAGGTAGGTTACATGGAGGATAGCGTGGATATAACCCCCCTATACTCTCTGAATAACATGTAAGATGTACGCAACTTACGTATGCAAATTTTTCTCTTGAATTTGAGGCCACCCAAAATAAAAGGTGGAAATTTATCAAAGGCAGGATTTTTACTGAGTTTAGTGAATTTATAGTGCCATTCAGTATGGAAACTCTAACTCCGCTGAAAAATTGATTTTGTCTTCTTTGATAGAGTGCAAGATGGTCACAAACAAAAGGAAAAGTTTCCATTATAGTGCACATAAGTACATTCAAATTACGTTCTCATCTTATTTATACATCAATTAGCCTACGTAACAATAGCTACGTGATATTTAGTTTTAGGTTTCTTAAGAATATGCATATAGCAACATCTAATGCATGCTAAATTGGTTGCAATCTAATTAATATTTAAAATTTAAGTTACAAGTTCGTATGAGATTATTTAAGTTTATTAATCAAGGATTGCTTCAATAACTAATATTTTTCATAATGACCAATTATCATTAACTTTACTTCCACTAAATCGCTAACTAATATTTTTTTTCTGTTAATGGTGAGGTTAATAACATTTTAAAATGCAATCAAAATTTCTATCTTTTTATATAAATAAAATTTTCACCTTTAAAAAGTCTATAAATTTTCTAATGGATATATGACCTATGTATATATAATCTTTACATGATGTGACATGACACAAGAATGGTGGGAACTTCAAGCTTGGCTCAGAGGGATAAAATACTTTTAGTTAGAAAGATCCGAAGGGTGTAACAAGGAGTGTTGGAGACTTAAGTTATGGTATAGTGGAATGGATCTTGTAGAAGATCCAAGTTATTAGTAAGTTATATATTGAGTAGCCCAAAAACAAAAAAAATAAGAGCTAAGTTTAGGCCTTTGGTGTGACAAACATAAAGAACCCTAAATCTTGAAATCACATGAACACTTTTGAGGAATGTGTTTAGTTATTTTTTAGAGCTTGATCCAATGTATAGTGATGCATGTGTTAATCATGCAAGTATACATGCCAATCAAATAGTATTAGAGTTTGAATCTAAGTTATCAATCGTACAAGGAATTTGTTATTTTTTGAAAGAAGTTTAGTTACTAGTCTACTAATCCTAAACTTAGTTCGAAATGTTTTTTATTTAGATTTTGTAAAGAGTCTAAAAATTCTAGTTTAAAGTGAAAAGCTAAGGTAAAGTGAAACAATATTCTACTGGTTTGAAATTTCACTTGAATTAGTTTAATCAAAATCTAAGTTTGTTTAAGTGATTATTTCACTATTATTAACAAATGGGCCTTGTACTCTTTATTCACTACTAAGATATAACAAACATTGGAGTTTCATATTATGATTAAATCTTCTTGACCCTGTAAAACATATGAATAAGCATTTTCCAATAAGATTGGAAACATTTAATGATAAAATTCCAATTCCATCAAGCACGCATGCTTTAACTTAGTTGTGTACATATTCTTCTTCTAATAGTCCTAAATTGTAACAAATTTTAAAATTCAAATGACCACTTTGATATGTAAATTATGTATGGAAGATTAAAATATCAACATAACAATCTCATGCCCAAGAATCTAAGATGGATTCAACTATATTAAAAAAAAAAACCAAAGAAGTAAAAGATCTAAGTAATATGCATGATTTGATACATAAATATCGATTTCTATAGAAATCAAAACAAGTACTACATGGAAAATAAAATAGAAAAGCAGGGGGTGAATTTTTTCTCACAAGCATTTGATCTTTGCACCTGATCTTTTCTTTAACTTGCTTCACTCTCACTCACTCTCATCAATATGAAAATTAAAATAGTCTCTAGTCAAAACATTAAGAACTATTCATGATCTCCCAAAATTGCATTTTTAATTAATATAAAATTCGACCAAACTAAAAACAAAGTGCCATAAATGACCTATATTGATAGGGAGTGTTGGGGTGTCGCTAAGTAGCCCCACAACACTACTATCAAGCATGGTGGTGTTGGAACTAAGCTCCTCCTTTCATAAAGTACAAACTTTGAATTAGGGCTTGTGTATGTGTGTGTGTGTTTGTGTGTGTGTGGGTGTGTGAGCGTGTGTGTGTGTGTGTATACATATATATATATTTACAAAGGAAAACAGTATTTGACAGAGGCGCAAATACCGATTTCCCATGCGCTAGACCCCATGATCAGAGCCCGCGTCATATGCCTAAATATTCGAGAACTCAGTGCCACTGGGATAGAACCCGAGACCTTAGGGGACTTACAATGAACCCCACCAAACAACAGGCCACAGCTTGAAGCATACACATATACATATACATATATACATACATACATATA